AGAGGCAGACGGAGTCAGACCGAGTTCGCGTGTGGCCGCCACAGACGCGTTGGCGTCCGTGTTCTAGCCCCTCACGGGTGTACACGTGAACGCATCTACGGAGACCGCGTGGCTTTCCAGGGCTTTGGGGTGCAGTTGCTCGGAAACGTACTCAGCTAGAAGTGGGCTATCCTGAATTCACTCCCCGTTCTCATGAGCCTCGCTAGGAAGTGTGGGCCTGAGGAGAGACTTTCTAGATGTCGCTGCACAGGTCCATTGTTGGTCTGCGGGCAGGAGGGCGGCGAGGGCGTCGGCTTAGTGAACGTGGGGTGCAGTGTGGGGTTTTTTGTTGTTCATAACATTTATTTCTTTCTTTTTTTAAATTTTATTTTAATCCTTGTTCAAGTACCTTTTTCTGTCCTTTACTCCCATGCCAGCCCACCCTCCCATCCCTCCCCACCTCCCTCCCATTTCCACCCCCCGTAGTGTTTGTCCATCGTTTTTTTTTTTTTTAAATATAGTAATTATCTGCTACTGGTGATAAGATTGCCCAGGTGACCTGGCAAGAAGCTGTATGTCACGTAGAAATGTTTGTGCGTAATTTCTCAATTATTGAGAAATAATTTGCCTCGTAGAATTGTAAGGCTCACCCTGGGCTTACTGTAAGACCTAAAACTCAGCGCTTATCTAAGATAAAAATTTAGCAAACATTCAGCAAATATTTGGCAAGGGCCTTCTCCGAGCTGGGCACTTGCAATTGGTTACAGCCTTGGATTTTGAAATATTTGCTTTTTTTTTTTTGCCACAAACCCAACCATGTGAGAGACCAGCTCGAATGTGCAAGCCGCTCACGTGATGGGTTATCAGCACTCCGCAGAGCCTGCCAGGAAGGGTGGGCTGCTTGTGTCGGTCTCCCGGGCCCCACTCCCCCCCAGAAGCATGTGCATGTAGCAGTTACAATCGTCTCTACGTACTTTCATGGAGCTGGCAATACTCAGATTTGTTTTAATGTAGGCATGGCGTGAAAGCACATTAAGAGCAGAGTGTCAGCTAACTGAAAAACATGCATGGAGGAAGGTACATTCCCAGTCCTCTTCAATAAGGATATTGCATTTTCTGTTAAAATCGGCAAACGGCGGCGGCTGGCTTTTCTCGTGCACTTTGCGTGGAGGCAGTGGGCTGTGACCGGCCCCGCGTGCCGGTTCTGGGGTCGGAAGAGCCACCTCTCCTGGCTGGGCGTCCTCGGGACAGTCGGGAAGACGTCCCGTGCTTCGGTTTCCTCATCCAGCCGTCGGGGGATGCCCGTGCCCCGTTCTGGGGACGGCCGGAGGGTGGACTGAGATGCAGGTGGGGTCGCCCGGGGCCCACTTTGCAGGGAGCCGCTGTCGCCAGCCCCAGCCGGGCCTCGCCCTGCAGACCGCGGCTCCCTGGCCTGGTCCAGCGCCATCCGTGCTCCTCGGCGACTTCCACGCCCTCCTCCCCTCCTCTCGAACCCCAGCACTCCCGCCCGCGCCTGTCCTCAGGCTCAGCTGCCGGCCTGCTTCCTGCTTCACACAGCAAACACGCGATGGGCAGGGAGCAGCCCCCTCCTCCTGACTGCCCACCCACGCCGGTGCCCACGTTCTCCGCCTTCTCCCTCCTTCGGCCTCCTCCTCCCTTCTTCCTCTTCTGGATCCGAGGGTTCCTGCCAGCTTACCAGGGCGCTCTTACTCTCCCTCCCCTTAACACGGAACATACAAAGCTGCTCTTCCCGGCCTCCCCCAGGCTCTGTCCGCCTCGACTTCCCCACTCTGACACGGCACCCCTTGTCCGCCTCACTCTGTCTGCCCTTGGCCTGCTCCCTCTATCCCCCGCCCCCAGCGCTGACCACTGTCCCCCGCCATCACCACCCCCTTAGAGTGTGGCTCCCCAAGGCAGAATGTCACCAGTTCTGTTGCATCGGGGGCAACGTGCGGGCTCCCAAACGTGGGTTGAGTGGGGGGACCGCTGTCGGCCGCTGAAGTTGTCTCAAACCTCTTACCGCAGGGTGACGCTTCCCAGACCCCTGCTCGCATGCGTCCTCCTGCAGGCAGGTGTCACTCTGGGACACGCGCACACCAGGTAAGCCGACGCGAGCTCGGCCTCCCCTCCCTCCCCCTCCGGCCTGCGTCTTCTGATCCACACCCAGGCTCTAGCACCGCGGTCACCGGAGCCCGAAACCTGAGCGGCCTGAGCCTTCCACATCCACCCAGCAGGTCATCAAGTCTTAATGGGCTCTTAGCCTCTTTCACACCTCTCCTCCCTCAGCAGGCACCGGCACCGCTGCAGCTGCGCCTTCCTCCTCGAGCCCCTGCTCCTTGGGTCTGCAGCCAAAGTCGCCGTCCTGACAAGCAGATGTGATGCTCCTCTCCCCTGTTCAAACTCTGTGCAGTTCCAGCCCTTAGGGGCTGCCACCCCACCTCCGTGAGCTGGGCCCGCCTCCCCCGGCCAGCCCCACCCTGGCCTCCCGGAGGTGCTCCCTGGGCTGCAGCCACACCAAGTGACTCAGAGTCTTGGCAGGTAGTGGGCTGTGGCATGCTCTTTGGGACTGCGGTTCGCTCTGCCCGGAATGCGTGTCCCTTGGGCCCTCAGGCCAAGTCACCGCTGGCCTTCCAAGCGGGGCTTCCTCCCCGGTATTTTCCAGCCCCCAGGGCACCCGGGCACCTCTAGTGCTCTCACTGCATTGCTCTCTGTGAGCTCACTGTCTGGCTCCCTACCACGCTGCTCCATTTTTTGTCCCCAGTCAGTAATCTTTGTGCCCCCTGCCCCCCGCCCCGGCCTTACACGGTGGGAACCTGGGAGAGCACGTCACACTCAGTTTGCGGGATGAATGAAGGGGAGGGAGGGGAGGGACCTGCCTGGAGTCAGTGAGCGGCCATGAGCGGAAGTGATGCTGGGAAACCCTCAGACCTGCTGTGTCATTCACTAATACGGACTTCTGAGCTGGGGGCGCTGCTGGGGGCGGGGATGATTTTTGGAAGAGAAGGGAGTCAGAGGCTACCGATTTTGTGGAGTTTGATTAGCAAACATAGGCCTATGAGGAAGGGAACATTAACCATGAGATTGTAGGGGCAGCTGCCAATTTACACTTAGTCTGACGGGGAAGAAACCACGGGGTTCGCTGATGCTGCTTGCTAGCCGTATGCAAGGAGGGAAAAGCCGGCCCCCTGTATGGGTTGTCCGTAGCTGTCCAGGTGTTCGTGTGACCAGAGCTGCTTCTCACTGGTTGGTGAGGGAGGCGTCAGGTGGGGCTGCGCCCCAGGGCCCGCTGGCGGGGGCTGTCACTCCCCGCGGCTGCTCTGACCCTATGGTTTCTCTCTCCCAGCTGCTCGGGGGAGCTCACGGCCATGCCACCCCAGGCCGGGGCCTCGGCTGACTCTGAAGGCCATGGCCGCTCTCAGCCAGTCTTCATTCCCCACCTGGCTCTCGGTCTACCGCTGGCCAGGCCCTCACCTGGCCCACCCCGCACTCCTCCCCATTGGACCGATGAGAACGGGCTTTGAGGAGCTAAACTTGTGACCAAGAAATAGCATGATGTTGACCCTGAGACTATACCTGCCGAAAAGGACTCCTCCTGGTGAGTTGGGCTCAAATTAATAACCAGAGCCTAGCAGCCATTGTTTATAGGGGTTCCTCCTGCACACTGCATTTCCGGGAGAAGCTACCTACTGGGCTGTCTGGCCTCCTGCAGTGTCTCCCAGCCTAGCTGAGCTGACCCTTGTGAGAGAGCTCCTAGGGCCAAAATTGGACCAATAGGACTGAGACTTTTCCCATCCAATCAGAGGTGCAGAGCTATATCCTTATGAGCGTGCCCCCACTCCAGCAATCAAAATAATTCCATTACAACAAATCAAGACAGTGCTCTTTGAACCAATCAAACTGAGGATTCGGAGTCCTCATTTGCATGAAATTGGACCAATCAGAGACCAGAGGCTGGTACTTTCTATAAAAGCTTTCAGGCCAGGAGGCTAGACTCACTGTAACATCCCTTTAGAGCTACTGTTGAGTTGAACTGGTCACAGTGACCTTCAGTTGACAATGGTCTTTTATGAAGAACTGAAAATAAGGCGGGGTCTGAGAGGAGCTGTGTTTGTCCCTGAGCAAGCCACCTGAAAAACGATGGGCACAGCAAAACCTACAGAAGGCCTGGGGGGTCCGGAGGAGCTACAGGTGTGAGGGGCTTCAAGCCTGCAGAGCTCTCTCCTGCAAGTGTTACGACAAAGCCATGCAGTGTTAGCTGTGACAGCAGAAATGCTTCCGTGGGGAAGTCTCGACAGTGATCTCTCCGCTCAAATGTAGATCACTTCCACTCTTCTGAGCCTGTTTCTGGTCTGTGAGGTAGCAATAAGGACCTCCCGAGTAGACAGGGCTGGGACAGTGCCTGTCACACAGTAGGTGCTCAGTATTTAAGGGCTTTGTCCCGAATGGGGGTGTTACTTTTAACCAGTACTCTAAATCACTTCATTCGATTCGTCAAGGGGAAAACATCAGCCGAACACCAGCAGGCCCCGGTTCGGACACAGGCCCGGCTTTTTCCCGGGGTTTGCGCTGCCACTGACCCTGGCCACGCCCTGATTGGGATCCCGGGACGCTCCAACTGCGGAGCCCTGGCCCCTCTGCCCAGGGCGGCGACACCCAGGGGGCAGCCTGGGTACTGCCGCTGCCAGGCCCTCCTCCAGGGTGTCTCAGCCCCAGGCCTCGCCCCGTTGTGGGTGGGCTCGGGCGCTCGGATTCCTGGCGGACTAGGAGTCTCCGTGTCCTGGGAAATGGGTGGACCGGCCCTAGCGCCGGGCTGGCGGGCTCGCGGGCCATAAAGGTCGCGACTCGAGTGCAGGGTCTGCGAGCTGGTGTGTGTGTGTTCTCGCGGTGGGAGGTCTGGGAGGCACGCATGCCAGGCAGTAGGGCACCTAAGGTCACCACCAACAAGTGGCCAGCGGGGCGGCCCCGGCGGCCCCTTTAAGACGCCGCGCAGCCCCGCCTCGCGCCGCACCCCCGCCGGGAGCGGCACCACGTGACCCGGGTCTTGTGACTGGCGGGGGGAGGCCGGGAGGGGAAGCCCGCCCGCCGCCCGCGACAGGGGCCATCCCCGCCGCCGCCCGCTCGGAGCGGGACCGCCGCCGCGCCGTCCGGGAGTCCCCGCCAGTCCGAGGCGGAGCGGGAGTCGGAGAGGGAGCAGGGCCGGGCGCGGTGGGCGCCGCCCGCCATGGACCACAAACCCCTGCTGCAGGAGCGGCCTCCCGCCTACAACCTGGAGGCCGGCCAGGGCGACTTCGCGTGCGGCCCGCACGGCTACGGCGCCATCCCCACCGCGCCCCCGCCGCCGCCCTACCCCTACCTCGTCACAGGTGGGCAGGGAGGGCGGGGGCCGGGGTGGGCGCAAACGCGGGACCGGAGTGGGGGGCTGCGGGACCGGGCGCCGGGGCGGGGCGGGGCGGGGGGGGGCGGTCCGAGCGGGCGGGGCGCCCCGGGATCCCACTTGGGGTCGAGCCCTAGGGCGACCTTTGACCCCAGGCCAACTTTTCTCCGGGCGCTGCCCACGCGCAGTTTGGGAACGCGGGGCCCCAGGGGCGGGCGGCCTGTGGGGAAGGGTTGGGGGGAATCTCCCGCACCAGGAAGCTGCTGCCCCGCACCTTCGGCCCACCTGCGGGGGGGGGCGGGCGTTGCGCGCACGAGGACCTCTGTTCCCAGGAAGTGTCACAACCCGGTTCAAATGAACTTCATTAACCAGGCTCTGTGTCCGCTTTAGCACCCGATAAAGCTCCTGGGAGGTACTTAGGGAAGGCAGCCGTTGTCTGGATTTTGAAAAGGAGCGTTTTTGTGTGTGTGTGTGTGTGTGTGTGGCGAGGGTGGGGGCGAGGAAGGGCAGGAGAAGGGGTTCACCGACTCCCCAGCTTTCCCTCCTTGCCCCGCTTCTGATGTGCGCTCCTGTCCGCAGGGATACCCACCCACCACCCCAGGGTCTACAACATCCACAGTCGGAATGTTACCCGGTACCCCGCCAATTCCATCGTTGTCGTCGGCGGCTGCCCAGTCTGCAGGTATGTCACAGGCCTGGGGCCGGCCCCCGAAGCCTCGGAGAACACACGTACCCAGGGGCTTCGCAGAGGCAGAGCCGTCGGAGTGGGTCCGTGTGGACTTGGGACAAGCTGTGGTGGGCGGGCATGGGTTCCGTTTTTTAGAAGGGTTGAGTGCTTTGGGCCGTGGAGTCCCAACGGAATTGGATGCCGAAATGTGTGACGTTTGGATTGATAACCTCTCATCCGCGGTTCTCTTGAGCGGGGTGGAAAGGTTTTCTCCCCCTCTAAGTGCATGGGCAGGGGAGCCCTGACTCAGGTGGCCGGTGCGTTCAAGGAGCCGGAGGCCGGGGGAGCTAGGCTGTCAGCGCCGCCTCCTGCACGGCAGGGCTGACACCGCCCCGGGATGGAGATGGGGCAGGAGCGGGTTTCATGCCCTCGAACTGGAGCCCTCACGGTCTTCTAACGGCTGTTTGCATGGGGCCACCGATGCAGCTAGCTAGGGGCCTGCTCTCCAGGGGTCCTGAGGGTTCCAGTTTAGCAAGACTCGGTCCTGCCCTTGGTGGAGTCGAGTGCTGGGACAGTCGAGAAAGTCAGTGCAGACTTGGCAAGGACCGTTTTTCCTGTCTGGGAGGAGGAAGTTTAAGTCTCTGAGATGGGCTTGAGAAAGCCTGGTTGACACTCAGGCTTGCTTTTGAAAGCGTATAGAGAAGGCTCAGAGTGGTGTGAAAGGGAAGTTAGTGATTTCAGAGTCACGGGGGGCGGTGAGGGGGAGACCGGAGCCAGGGAAGAGGGAGGGCGGGACAGGGGTGGGAGCAAAAGCCTGGACCCCCAGAGCCAGCTGTGGCCCAGTAAAGGGGCTGTGGGCAGGGGAGAGCCCCTGGAGCTCTGTGCCAGCCCGGGGACCCCGTTTGCAAACCCAGAGAGGGAGTCTCTTCTGACACAGCTGGTGAAAGTTAGGCCTTCGGAAAATGTGGAGGGGAGGGCGGGAAGGGCAGACAGCTGGCCTCCCGGACACGCCTCTCTCCGCGAGGCACCGGGGGCGTCAGAGCAGTCGGGGTGGAAGGGGCGGAAGGTACCGGGAGGGCTTGGGTCAGAGGGGCTGGACTCGGAGGCCGCTCCTTTGCTGCTGGGCAGGGCGTGGGTCACGGCGTGGGTCACGGTGTGGCCCCCTGCGGAGCGAGCCTCCGAGAATCCTGGGAAGTTGCGTGAAGAGGTGGGTGATGGGAGCCCCGCCGTGTGTGTGAGGCTGGCCCCGGGTACTCGGCCCTGGTGTGTGCATGGCCCCTCCGTCCCCACTCAGCCCAGCCTGAGGATTTGGGGGGCCCATTTTTTGGAGCGGGGTCTTCACGTCATCTCCCAGGTTAAGTGAGGTGTCAGACTGGTGAGTTCAAGGAGGACCAGGAAGGTGCCTGGAGCAGAGGGGTCGGCTGGGATTTCGGGGGTTTCGGTGTCTCCTGCCCTGTCCAGTCGCCGCCTCCCAGCGGTGCCCAGCCTGCTGGGGAGCTGGGTTCGGGTCCTGGCCCCACCCGTTACCGGCTGGGCCTGTTGTTCCCCCTCCTGGGAAATGGGCACACCTGATGGGGTGGTCTGTGAGCCTCCTGTTGGCCCAGGCCCCTGCGTTCAGGGGAGCGGCCACCAGCAACACGGCCCTCGTGGCCGGTGGAGGCGGGGAGCCGAGGCTGAGGTGTCTGCGGGGCTGTGAAGCTTCCCGCACCCTGGCTGGGCCGCTGCCAGCGAGGGGGCGTTCCCCGGGACCTGCCCTTCCCTGGGTGGGTGCTGTGTGGTTCTGGGGGCCGGTGGCTTCGGCCCAGGGGTCTCCCGTCATCCCGAGTCACGGGCTGGGAGACAGGACACTTCCCAGCGGCCACACCGCGGCCTCCCTTTCCATCCAGCCCGCCAAGCCCCGTCCCTCCCCCTCCCCCTCCCCCTCCCCGGCAGCTTGGCAGGAATTTGCTGGAGTCACACGGCTGCGATCCCCTCCGAGTGAGTCTGGTGTACGAGTCCGTGTCACCTGTCACTTCGCCATCGTCTGGCTGGCACTTAAGCAGCCTGACTCCAGCGTCCCCTTTTAGCCGACTGCAGGGGCCTCGCGTCCGGTTCAGCGGACGAGTGGGTGCGCTCCTCCCCGCACCCGCCTGCGGCCCTTGGCCCGCCGGGCTCCTCCAGGCCCCAGGGCCTCTGCGCTGGTCCTCCCGTGGGCTGTGGCCGCCCTCGCCGCAGCACTGCGGGTCTGGGGTCCGGGCCTGGCCGGGTCGCCCTGGGCCACCGTGGGGCTGCGTGCTGAGAAGGGGCCCTGCGTGACGGGGGCCAAGGCTGGAATGTGACAAAAGCAGCAGACACGGGGCCTGGCCTGCGCCGGGCCCAGCGCCGACGCCGGCTGGGGTGTCTTGGGTGTTTCGTTTTAGGGGTGACCAGAGGGATAGGAGGGAATCCAGGCCCAAGTGAGGCCTCGGAAGCCGAGACAGAGGCTCAGGGAATGTCGGTCAGGGTCCAGGGTGTGGCGCTGGGTGGTCAGCGTGGGTGCCACCGGGGACCCGAGGAGAGTTCTGGGAGGCGAGAGGCAGGCCCCAAGCGTGTGCACAGGACATGGGTGCCGAGGTGGGGTGCACAGGGCTCACCGGAGGGGGGTTGCGGCAGAGTCCTGGGGAGCTGGCTGTGCCCGGATTGGCTGGGAAACAGGCCACCAGGACGGTCCCTGCCCACGTCACACCTGGGGGCTCCCCTGGCCTGAGGGGCAGCAGCGGACAGGTCAGTCGGGGCCTGTGTCCTGAGCTGTGTCCTGGGCAGTGTGCAGAGCGGGGGGCCCGGGGCTGGCTGGTCAGCTGCTGGCTCTCCAGGTAACACCCCGGGTCTCCAGTCTGCTGCTCCCGGACCAAGCCTGGGCGGCCCACAGCGAGTGCCCGGCAGACTCGCTGCCTGGTGCGCCTCCCCAGGCCCTAACCTCCGGCTCCACCCCCCGCTCCAGGCAGAGCTGTCCCCGGGCTTCCTTGGGGTTTGGAGGGCTTCCTTGGGGTTCGGAGCGCCGGGAGACCTCACCCGAGCTTGCTCGCAGCCGCCCCGGAGTGGCCAGCAGCTCTGCGGACCAGGCGGGCCTCCCGCTCCTGAGCGGGGGAGAGTGGACCAGACTTTGCAGGCTGGGGGCGGGGGCTGGCTGGGCGTTTTGGGGCATCCGGCCTTGGGCCACCCGAAGTCCTCCCCGAGGAGGCTGCCCTCCTCCCTGAGGGCTGGGTGCCGCCTGGAGCCACCCTGTGCTATGTGGTGAGTGGGGTGAGCGGGGAGGGCCGTCGGGGCTGGGGGTGCCGACTGAACAGCCCTCCGGCCCGGGGCTCCGGCTTCCTCGGCGGGGCGCAGGGGTGGTGCCTGGGGGCGGGGGCTGCCGAGAGGGCTCCGGGGGGTGGTCCCACTTCTTCCCGGTTGGGGGGCCTGGCCTCGGACGCTCTGGGGACAGGTGGGCTCAGGGCCTCCAGCGTGTTCGTCCTGGGGGCCCGCCCAGACCTGCTCTTGACGGATGTCAGTGGGACTACGTGTCCCCTTTCTTCTGAAGGTCAGAGTCAGGAGTTAAATAAGTGTCTTGAGAACTAGTCAGTTCTCTGATTCCCCTGCTCGCCCCCCCCCCGCCCGCCCGCCCGCCCGCCCGCCCGTGGCCCAGGAATGGAGGCGGGGGAGGGGTGGCTCAGCCACAGCTGAAGCCACTTGCTCAGACTGGGTTCTGGGCCCGTTGGTGAGGGGCTGAGACTCGTTCACCTGGGACAGATGGAAGCGGGCATTTAGGGGCTCTGGAGAGGGAGCTTGCGAGGCCCTGGGCAGAGGACCGTACGAGGGCTGCGTGCCTTTCCCCTGGGGGAGGGGCTCCGCACCCCAGGCTTGTTCGGGGGCCCCCTCCTCCCTCCTACGGGGCACCCCAGAGAGGGTACAAGGGTGCGTGTTGCTGCATCAGGATCGGTGTGGAGGCCACGCGGTATTTCTCAGTTCAGAATCACTTGGGTTAAAAACCTGAGTTGCACCAGCACTGCTGTTGAGGGTGGGGGCAGTGTGTCTGTCGTGCAGACGGTAGTACTTCTGCAGCAGGGCGCGAGCACGCACCTGCAGTGGGTAAAGCAGTTCAGGGCACGCCGGCCGCTGGGTGAGTTTGCTGCAAACTTCGCTTTTTCCCGGGGCGTTCCGATGGGCCGTGCGGCTCCGCGGGTTCAGGGTGAGCGCCTCGGGAGCTGCTCCCGGAGGGGGTGGGTGCTGTCCCCTGCGGTGGTGCTGGGCATTCCCTCCTGCGCGGGTGGGGGGTGGGTACTGGGTGTGACTTGAAGCTGTCGCAAACCGGGCTTCCTCTTAGTCTGGTGTATTTTTTTTTTTTTCGTGATTCCTAGCAGGGCGGGAAGCACGCGGCCCCGCGCCCTCCCACTGGAGCCTGCCGTGCAGGGCCGCGGGTGCGTTCTGCAGGGGGTCTGCCCCGGGGTGGGGGGCGAGAGCTGTGAGCAGTAGCGGCGCTCACGTGGGCGCGTGACTTCCCCAGAGCTGGCTGAGAACCGGCCGCAGCAGCAGCAGCAGCAGCAGCAGCAGCAGCAGCATCTCTGGCACTTTGAGTGGAGGGAGGGAGGGAGCGAGCGAGGGAGCCCCGTTTTGGTGTAGTTCACCTTGACACTTGTTTGCCGTCTTGTTGGTGAGCCGGGCCTCCTCTCCGTGCGAGGCGGCAGAGGGAGGGGCAGGGCCGCCTGCGCATGCGCGGTGGAAGGGTCCCCAGAGCTGCCTTTGCCGAGGCCGCGGCTGAGGGTGGGTCAAGTGGCTCCGGCCAGACTAAGGAGGCTGGGGCGGACATTTGTGGCACGGGAACGTGGGGTGGGGGCGGTGACACGCCCCTCCTCTGGCAGCGCAGACGTGTGGAGCAGTGGGAAGCAGCCGGTTCCCGCGGGCTTTCCCCGGCTCCCGGGTCTGGCAGGGGCGGAGCACTTCTCACTGGGCTGTCGTCGCTCTGATCTCAGCTGAGCCCGGGACTCGCCGGGGGGTGCGGGTGGGGCTGGGCGCACTGCTCCTGCCTGGCTGTTGGGGCCTTCGGAAAGGGCCCTGGAACCTGAGTGGTGACTTCAGGCGCCTGACCTGTACCCAGTGGCACCTGATGTGCTGGCGCCCCCGCCCCCCAGGTGTCGGAGGTACTGTGTGTTGTGCCCGTTAAAGGTGAACTTGACTTTTCTCCTGAAGAGGAAGCTTTGAGACGAGATTTCTCGAGTAAGTGGTCTTCCAGACATTGCGTGAACGTGGCTGATTTTAAGCCTTTTAGGAAAATCTGTTGCTCACACCCAGTACGAAAACCTGTTTTTTTTAAAGCCTCACCTGAGGGTATGTGTATTGGTTTTAGGAAGGGAGGAGGGATGGGATGGGGAGAGAGAAACAGGGGCCGGGGGCCCGAGGCGCCCTGACCGGGGCCCGAGCCTGCAGCCTTTCGGGGGACAGGGCCTGCTCCAACCCGCCCAGGTCTCTGTTCCTACTTCTGGGATTTCCCTCCAGGAAACGGAAAACCGAAACTTTTCAACACCGGGAAAAGACACTCAGATGATTTGGTTTCTTGGTCTTGCCGTTTCCAGAGATGCAAGGATTTCTGTGAAGTAGCGCTGGCTCCTTGTTTCTTTTGTAAGAAAACGTGGCGGATGACAGGGGACTGAGTGTCTCTGCCTTGGAAGTGGTGGCTTGCAAGCGATTCCTCCTCCTCCACGCCCCCCGGGCAGCGGCCGTCTGCCCGCCCCTCCGCACGGGCAGGGCATGCGGCGGCTCTGGAGGCGGGTGGGTTGTGGCGCCCGAGGCGCGGAGGCTGCCTTTGCGGATGGACTGCGCTGCGCCAGGCGCCTGGCCGGGGGTCCGGTGGGACAGCAGGCCGGGGGCCCTAACCCGAGCCCCTCCCCCGCTCTCTCCACAGAGTTGGGGTTCTGGAGGACTCCTTCACCTTCCTGGGCATCTTCCTGGCCATCGTCCTGTTCCCCTTCGGGTTCATCTGCTGTTTCGCCTTGAGGAAGCGAAGGTGTCCCAACTGCGGAGCAAACTTCACCTAAAGGGAACGGCAGGCCCGGCTGCCCTGCCCCCGGCCGTCTTTTTCTAATGTAAATGTCGTGTACAGTAGCTTGTTTGATTACGCTGCAGGACTGTTTTGTAAAGGGAGGTGGCACAGGTTCGGCGCGTGCCAGCGGGTTCACGGCCGCGGAGTGTGGACACACTGCTTCCGAGGCTCACGACAACTCAGTAAAGCACTGCTTTTATTTTTTGCAGTCTTCAATTTGAGAAAGGTGAGAAGTGCTGTTTTAAATAAATGAGATTCATACCACTGCTTACCTGGTTCTGCTTATTCGGTGTGCAGACCCTGCCACTTCCGAAGTCGAGGAGACTAGAACGACACACCCGTCACCCACCCCAACGTGGGTCGGGCCTGCCATCTCTTGATAGGCATCTCCAGCCCAGAAGATGTTGTTTTCAAGTTCTCTTTTATTGTTATAATGAAACACGATACCTTGACATTCACAGAGCCAGGCACCTCCGTGCCAAGGACACGGCAAGCCCTCCTGTCCCGTGTGAGGCAGGTAAGTGGCCGCTCCGGCCCCTTCTGTGAAGGCAGGAGAGACTGGGTGGGCGAGTCAGGCGGGCCCGAGGAAGCCGGCTGCTAGTGCAGGGCGGCGGGCGTCCCCATGACCGAGCCAGGGGGTCCCGGGGTGGACGGCGCTCCAGTGGCCGGGCGAGGTGGGCAGACCCGCCCTCTCCCGTATCGGCGCACCTCCACAGCCTACAGCCTGTCCCTCCCCCCTGCTGAACGCCACGGGCCTCTGCGGGCGCTCCTCGCACCCAGGCGCCGAGGGCAGCAGAGGGCCCCTAACGGACCCAACTGTGGCTTCTGTGCTGGCTGGAGCGCCTGCTCTCAAGACAGGGGTTTTGCCTGACTTGGCCCGGGAGGCCCTCCCATAGTCCTGGGCCACCAGCGCCCCCCGCCCCCCGGCCGACCTAGCCAGGAGGAGGAGGAGGTCAGGACCGTGAACGTGAACTGTCGCACACGCTGGTTTATCTGCAGCTGTCCTGGGCCGGTCTCGGGCTCACTGGGAAAAGCAGCACAGCGAGACCGCAGGGGCAGTCTGAGCAGCAAGTCCCCCCATCCCTGCCCACCCAGTGAACGGCCCGGGAGTGACTTTTAACCACGACTCTCCACGCCTCCAAGATAGGGCCTACGTCCTCGGCAGCCTGCCACGAACCCCGCTGCCTGCTCAGAGCCCCTCCCAGAGGAGCGTGGGTTCCTGGTGCGTGAGGGCAGGTCTCAGCTACAGTGCAGGTGCTCCCGGGGGTCCCCCGGCGGTGGAGGAAACTAAAGCGGCAGAGGCAGCTTGGTCGGCGCCGCGAGAGCACCCTGGCTCCCACAAGTGGCCGCCCGGGGGTGTCTCCCGAACGGCCCGGCTCAGCAGCCCCGGAGGCCTTTGCAAGCACCGAGTGCCAGGGCCGCGGCGCTCGCCGCTGTGTCTCGGTCACGGGGAAGGCGGCCGGGCTGCTCCGCCTCGGGCAGCTCTGCGTTGGACCACACAGAAATGAACAATTTTTAAGTTAAATTTATATAATACTCTCATAATTTATATCGCTTACGATTCTTTAGATAAACATCATAGTGCTACTTAAGAGCAGAAGCTTTATCAAGTTAAGCCATGATCTCATTTGAACTCGGGTATAGAGTAAACCAGCCAGGGAAGCACAGACCGGCCCTTATTCTGGCTATTTACACAGTAATCAGAGTATTTAAAGAATAATCCAGTAAGGGTTGGAGCCAGATTTCCTGGGTTTGGGACAGAACAGGAAGAGAGCACTTCAAGTGACTGAGCTGGGCGCTCGGCTGACTGATGTGGGTAAAGAGAAACGTGCAGACCGGCCGGGAGCGGAGAAAGGCACTGATCGCTCAGCTGGGGACGCTCGGGGCCGGCGCCCCCTGGTGAGCCGCCAGGGCGCTGCAGCCCGCGCCGGACCATCCTCCTGCAAGTGAGACCCCAACGTCCGAGAGGATCCGGGAGAGAGAGCCCCCCGGCCACCTCCTCACCGAATGACGGGCGCCGACCGGTCATTTGTCACTGTCGGGCGGAGCTTCACAGTAGCAAAGGGGTTTTCTCCGCTGTGGGGGGAGGAAAAGTGTGTGTGCGGGAAATACTACAAGGTGGGAGTAAAAACTTGTTCGTGCTCTGTAGAGCTACATGGACCTCGTGGGAACTCCAGACAGCCTTTTCTGGCTGCGAGGAGTTCCACGGTGGCACTCGCGCCGTGCCGCCTCTTGCAGAACTATCGAAGCTTTACACGTTGGACGCAGGAGAGCCCAGCTCTCTGCAGTCCTCTGTGGGAGGGGCAGCCGTCCAGGACCAGGCCTGGGTGAAGCTGCCACGCACAGTACGCGACCAGGAGAGCGCCCTCCTGGGCCCACGGGCCCGAGCGCGTTCTCAGGACGGGGCCTGCTGGTCCGCGCTCGGAGGGAGGGAGGGAAGGAGGAGTGGGGGAAGGCCCTCCCGGGCCGCTCACTAACTGGGGTTGGGGGGGGCGACCTGCAGCTTGGAGACGTTTGTGGGGAGTTACATACCTGAGAAAAAGAGGCTTTGCAGTCCCATTTGTGTTACTCTGTGAGAAAGAAGATAAAGACAACTTACGGAAGGCTCATGAAATTGGGACACTTTAAATAAGATCTGCAGGTAAAGGCATTTAAGACGAGGGATTATTTAAAGTTACAAATGTTTAAAAGAACCCCAGAGATGCAAATCATTTGAGACTATTTTGGGTTTTTTTCTCGATATTTTCAAAGTATAAGAGCAAAACCAGAAAACATTTGAAAGGCAGTGATGGACCCTCCCAAGTGAGGGACCCCCCCACATGTGGGCCGTCTGGGACATAGGGCCGATGCAGGGCCTGCTGTGCCCGGCCTGCGGCCTCGCAGGGGCCCGGCCCGCAGCTGCAGTCGCCTTTCTGGAGCCCAGCCCTGAGCGAGGCCGTGAGAACACAGGGAGCGAGACCAGGGCCTTGCTGGGTCCGGTGCTCGGAGACTGGTGCCGACGGCCCCCGTAGGAAGACCCTGTAGGAAGTCCCACAGAGCGAGGGACAGAGAACACGGAGGAGCGAACACCGTCTCTGCCTGCAGGGGGCTCGGGGGTGTCCCACTGTGGCCGGGGCCAGGTGTGAGCCTCCACTGCAAGGGGCCCGCAGGCTCTGAGAGTCCGCTTTCAGTCCGTTCTGGCTGTTGGAAGCAGCAAGCACTGGTCAGAGCACGTGGGCGGACTCAGGTGGTCGCCCAGGACAGGGCCGTGCGTCACTGTCTGACGGGGGCGCCGGCTGGCCCTGGCGCTGAGAGCTCGCCGCACCCCCTGTGGCCGGAAACCTGGGCCAGGGCTCCTGGGGAGGCTTCTGCTGGGTTTTGGACCTACCAGCTCTCAAGGCAGAGGGCTAAGGACACTACTAGGGCTACTTCAGACCTGTCTGTGGCTGCTGCCTGAGCCTCCGAGAGCCACACAGCTAGACCTTGAACCCCAAGCCCAGCAGAGCTGTCCTGACGGGGAGCCCCAGCACCAGGAGGCCGAGTCCAACTCAGTGCCTGCTCTTCTCTGCGGTTTTACGACATGCAGTTGTACGTTTTTTTAAGAATAAAAGTCATTTTTATGCTTTTAGAAATGCCTTAAGATGGTTTCCAAATAGCTGGAATATTGTTTTAAAATGTACCAGGGCCTTTAATAAAAGGGCATTTGACATCGTTGCCCCTCCGAGCCATTCCTCCAGCTGCTGGCATCTGCCTCCATGACGACAGACTGGAAAAGCTCCATTTTCAAAAGCCACATGCCCTTTGAACATCATGTTTGGAATTAGACATTTGTAGTAATTTGGGACAACAGAGCTGCACACGAAACACTGTGCAGTGAGCGCGTCTAAGAAGAGAGCGCAAAGACACCGGGGTGGGAGGTCAGAGCCCCGCCTTCCCGCCCAGCCGCCTGGGGAGAGGCAGGCCCGTCTGGAACCCCTCCCTCAGGCTCGCACGAGAACACGGGGCGCGTGTTTAGGAGGGTTCCCGTTTCGGAGAGTCCGCCTCCGCACCATTCCCAGCTGAACAAAGCCACCGGTAGCGGTGCTGATGGGGACAGGCCTGCGGAGCCACGCGCCCCTCGCCACCAGAAGAGGGAGCAGGCTTCCGCGTGCCCTGCAGGAAGGACCACGCGGTACCTGAAGGTCACCGAGAGGCAGTTTCTGCACCGGCTGTGTCTGGACGACCGCCAGTGCCCCGGGATGTTTCCGAGCCCCTGCGACCCCGAGCAAGAGGCCCAGCCCACCGGCCCTCACCCAGGCCCCTCCCCTTCTCGGTGCCCTAGTGGCGCAGCTGCGTGTGGCTGGGGAAGCCACCACATTGGCTGGGTTTGTGTCAGATCTTGACCCCAAATAGTGAATGAGCACCTGTCCCCAGCCCCGCTTTCCTACAGCTCTTTGAAGCAAGCACACTCACAGTCTTACCCCTTAAAACCCCGACTCCACAGGTCTTCTCGTTCCAACAGGCTCACCACCACTGCTGGCCCCGCCCACGGCCGGCCTCACCGCTGCACAGACCGGACGGGGGCCCCCACTCCTCCCGCCCAGCGGCACCTCCCCAGTCACCGCCGCCCCCACTGTGTAACCTGCACTGAAACAAACAGGGAGGACAGGACCCCCGAGATGCACTAGCGTCCAGGGGACGGTCGCCTTCCTTCCCCGTTCCTTGAGGATGCCAAGCACATGCCGTCCTCGGGGGCTTCAACTTTCCACCCCTTCCGCCCGGGAGGCTCCTCCCGACCCCCGCTCGGTGGGCTCCCTGCCCTTTGGATGTAAGCTTAGCTGTCACCCCTCAGACGTCCTCTGCTACGGAGAGCCACATGCCACCTGGGTCCCCCGGCCACCGCCTCCAGAGCCCACCCCGGCCTGGCACCCAGGGGCCGCCGCTGTCAGAGGGGTGACGGGTGTCGCCTGACTTTCCCGCGAGGCCGCTCCGGGCGGGAGACGACACGCGCCGCACCTGCACGGCCCACGGCGCTGAGCCCACACTCCCTGGGCATGCGGAGATCAGGCTCCCGCTTTTCACCTTGAACCTTCCTTCAGAACACGGCACGAACACGGGAGGAAGTGCAAACAAGGTGACTAAGCGACTCAGCGACGGCCGCCACGGCCGAGAGAGCGCAAGGAGAGCCGAGGACCTGGGACAGTCGGGCGCAGAGGGGCTCCCTGTGCGTGGACCGCCCTTCCCAGGCGGCACAGACCAACGGACTGAGGCTGGGGGGCGGGCGGGGTGCACGGAGAAGGGGACCCCAAGGAGCAGGGAAGGAGGCCGAGGCCCCGCCCCCACACCCCGGCGGGCACGGCTCTGCACATCCGGAGACCGCCACCCTCCGGAGACCGCCACCCTCCGGAGACCGCCACCCGGGACCTGGGCCCACTGGGACCTGGGCCCACGCACGGAGTGGGAGGCGGCGGCGCTACTCACCGACGAGGGGGCCTCCGGTCTGGCCTCCGGGGCTTTGCAGGCAGGAGCGGGTCTGGAGCCGCCCGCTCTCTTCTCTGCAGCCGCCCGCGTGGACAGGCAGTCCAGGTAGTCCGGCGGGGGGATGGGGACGGTGGCGCTGCCCTTCTCGGACAAGTCCACGGAGCTCACGCTTCTCACTGGGGTGGGGCTGACGGCCCCGGGGGTCAGAGAGTGCAGTTGAGAAGGGGCCCTGCCCGGGGTCCCGGACACCCAAGCCAGCCCGCCATGAGAACTACACAGATGGATCGTAAAGGGCTCGGGGGGAGGGGAGACTGCAACACACACACACACACACACACACACACACACACACAGCGCCATCATCATCATCATCTGGATCTGAGTGGAGACTTGGGGGCGACTGGGAGAGGTGTCACAGGAAGCCCATGGGTGTGACCGGAGCACAGGGGCAGACAGGATGGCCCGGGAGCAGAGCAAAGGAGACCGGGCTGAAGACGGGACCTGAGGACCACCTAGTTTCAACCGTGGGCAGGGGCGGGGCCTGGGCGGGGCCTGGGCTGGACGGCTGGTGAGGAGGAGGGAGAATGAACAGAGGGCGAGGTCAAGAAGCCGGAGCAGGACAGCACTTGGGAAAATGCGTTCCCCAGTGTCACAGGCTGCTCAGTGGGCTCAAGAGGGACGGGTGGGCCTTGGGTGCAGCTACGGTGGGTGGCGAGGACCCTGGGGTGGGGCCAGAGGGCTGCGGAGGAGGGTCTGGGGTGTGAATCTTCACGGCTGGCAGTCAGAAAAGCCCGTGGAAATGGAAATCGCTAGGAAACGAGTGTGGATTCGCAGTCTCCTGCTCAGTCCCCGTGATCGGGGGCTCCCCGCACCCCCAGACAGAATGCTGACCCTCCCCACCCAACACAGCAGGTCGGGTTTTCTGTCACTGGGAAACCAGCCCCAGTCGAGCCCTACCTTGGCGAGGGCATGCTCACGGCCTCCTTGGCATTTTCCTCCAGCAGCTTGGTGTACGACGACGGGAACCAGCCCCTCCTGCACGGGAGGGCGGGGAGAAGAGGCCCGGCTGGGGTGCCAGCAGCCGATGGGCGAGGACACACACACCCAGGACGACTGGGGCCGACGGCCCTTCGCTACACCACACAGGGTGCACCTCACATCCCGGGCTGATTCCATTCGGTTCCCTGTTTATCTTTCCCCCACCACCCCGTACTGGTTTTATTTAACAGGTGAATGATCTACACAAAATCAATTCAAAATACACAGATTATCTTTGAGAAATCCGAAATCACGTTTAAAATAAAAATGACCCAAAAGAACACTTAAACCTACTCTCAGAGGCGACTCCATACGACTTAAGTGATCTGTTCGTGCATGAAGTTTACCCGTACACACATGTACACGCACGTACACACACATCATGCACACACACGCACATACATGCAGAAACAGTCCGGGACAGAGTGAGTCCAGCCCACGAACACAGAACTGGAACCGGACTACGACCCGAGCACCGGCTGAGATGCTGGCACGTTCGCAAGGACAATGCGCCACTGACAGGAGAGACCACGGCCCTTGGAAGCGCCGGGCGGCCGGGACTCCTGCTGGCCCCCCCCCGCCCCCACCCCCCTGAGACTCACGCTTTGGAGGCGTCGTGCTCGCCGTAGAGCCAGCCGTCCCTCTCCTCGGAGATGAGCAGCGTGATGACGTCGCCCTGCGCGAAGCTGAGCAGGGTCTGGTTGCTGCCCGCGGTGTGTGGGAAGATGGTTTTCACCTTCTGCCTTTTCATCATGTTCAGTCCCGTGGCAACCGAGACCGACCGCTGCAAACTGGGGTCGTCTGTGGAAGCTGCTGGAAACGAGCACAGCAGGGACGGCCTTTCAGAGGATGGCAACAGGCCACTGGCAACACACAGACCCCAGCGGTGTCCTGTGGCCACACCCCTCCCTGTGCCGGGTGGGCAGGCCCCAGGCCTCTCCCGGGGCCCCTTTTGCAGACAGAGAGGATAAAGCAGCGCCTGCCAAGCTTGCCTACCCTCCGCCTTACCCCAGACGCTCTCTTAGGGAGGCGAACCGCCCCTCCGCCGACTGGGCTCACGGTTCCCCTTCCCCTGCCCGCCCCCTCGGCCTCAGCTCACACCCAGCTGCCCGAGGCCAGGGCCACCAGGGGACCAAACAGGAAACGCTCCCGTGAGGACGAGCGCCGTTGCCCAGCCCTCCCTAACCACCAGTCCGCACTCTCAGGCCCCCCGGGCGAGGGGCGCGCGCAGCACAGCCAGGCACCGGCCGGAGCGGCCTGGCTCCAGGGCCCATCCCGCACCACACGAAGCAGCAGTGCGCTGAGCATTGTGTGTGTCTCCGTTCAAATACAGCCCGATATTCACCGCACACACACACAAAGTGAAATGGATAATTTTTTTTTTAGATTTTTCCAAATATTGCTAGCCTAGTATTAAGAACCAAGTAAGATCTCTTTCCACTTTATTCTTACACAGTCTTACTAATTACAATATAAGCTTCGCTAGCCTCTTACCACGCCACTCTCTGACTACCTCAGTGGTGCTGAACCCACCAGCAATCTTACTTTGCTTTTACTGGAAAGAATCGCTTGTCTGAGTGACTGCGATGCCCACGACATCACCTACTTTGACCCTGTGTTGCATGTAGCTCGTGGCCCTGCTTTCCAAGGCAGACGGCTGTGGACTGCCGTCTTCCCAGCTGCCACTCGGAAAGTCTCCTCTCCTCCCCCAGAGCCGCACGTGGTACCTGGGGCGTGTCCAGCACCCGGCTCCACGGCCAGGACCCTCGTAAGCTAAGCGGGGCCTGGGAGACACCCAGATGGGGGCGGGGGTGGCGGCTGTGATGTCTGCAAACAGTAACGGGTTCCCGTCTACCACCGAGTTGAGAAATTTAAGCACTTAGAACTTAGTCTCCAGAAAGTGTGATGTGCTGTCAGAGACGATGACAATCACTGATTATAATGCGAACAGAGCCTGCGGGTGAAGATTAGTCACCATAATTTTGTCATGTGAACTGTTACAGTTTGTTGTATTGAAAACAGAAATTGCAATTGTCACCACATGAGACACATTGGGGATGTCTCTATGCATTCTTTTTATGTACTTAATTTTTTAAACTTTATTCTACTGTAAAAATAACACCTTTCAATAGTACATTTACTCATAAACATCAGTTAGCAATAGAATTGGTATGTGTCAGAGTGTCTCTGGTTTTACTAAAACTCAGGGCTTCACGTGTTGTGAGTTGTGTGCTCTTCCAGCTTGGGACGTGTGCTGCACACACACACACACACACACACACACACACACACACACACACTCGTTCACCCCTGCCTGCCTCACGACAGCTACCCAAACCGTCTGCTTTAAAAATTCAGGAAGGTGGGAGTGGTGGGGGTGAATGCAGACAACTGCAGCTAAACAACAATAAAATAATTTTAAAAATAAATAAAACAAAAGTTTAGGAAGGTAATTTGGAAGAAATATCTTACCTGAATTCTGTGCGGCCGTCGCCGGGTTATTAAACATATCGATCAAAGGGCTGGTGTTCGCTCTGGTCGAGGGAGCGGGGGGCACCTTCGGCGAGTGTTTAGAAAGGGTGTCGTAGTCCTTCCCAACCTGCGAGACGTTTCACTCATTCAACGTCAGTGCAACACAGCGTTATAGCGGCACTCTAGGTTCCCAGGTTGGTATGACATGCTTTAAACTCCAATTTCCCCCAAAGTTCTTAGTTGCAGGGCAATATCCCATTTTGAATTATTTCAAGGATACCCTATTTTTTCATTTTTGTCTTAAAAATGCAGTTATCTTTAAAAATAAAAAACAAACAAACCCCCCGCCCCCCAAACACAACAAAGCCATTACTCCCGCACCCTCTCCCGCCTGGGCAACCGCTAATCTCCTTCCCGGTTCTGTGGGTCTCAGGCTCGCTCTGAAGTGCTCCTTGACTAGAGGACCCTGTGTCTGAAATGCTGCTTCCACAGAGTGAGAGTGCATGGCTCCATGAGGCTCTGGCACCTTCAGTTGTCAGGATCTTCTCCTCACCCCTGACTTCCTGTCATCTGTCCAGGCTCTGGTCTTTTTAATGTGTCCAGGATCCCTCCGGCTGCCGCGTCAGGGACCAGGCAGAGGCTACCGTGGCCACCCCTGCAGGGGCCGCAGCCAGAGCCGCGTGCGTGGGGCGAGGAGAGGCTGGGCTCGGGCCCACTTCGCAGATGGAAACGACGGGGCCGGCCCACGGGCTGACGGTGGCGCAGCAGAAAAAGGGGAGGGAGTCACTTCGTGTCTGAGCCGCAGAAGGACGAGCTGTCATCTCCTGGAGGGAGAGGGGTGCGGAGGAGCAGGTCGGGGGTGAGAGAGCCAGTCCTCTGGGTCTGGGCAAGTCAAGCCCGAGATCCCCGTCGGACAGCCGGTGCTGAGGCTGGGCGGGCGTCCGGACCTGTCTCCACGTGCCAGCTGGTCTAGCGTCATGTTTACCCTCTTCCTCTGATGTTTCAGAGGGTCGCCTTTCTGTTGTCGCACTGTGTTTCGAACGTTTTTTGGGTTAATTTTCCAAGCAGTTCCATTCTTCTCAGGAGCCCATATATATGTTATTATGTGTTTTGTTTGTGTTTGAGGGTGGGGGGAGAAATGAAAAACAAGAAGTTTTTATTTTAGAAAATTTTCGAATGGGTGCAAAAGTAGAAAGATGAGCAGAGTAAACCTCCACGCACCCAACACCCGGCTTCAGCAGTTTCCCGGCCGATATCGTTTCATGTACGCGCCCCCCCGACCGCCCTGTCCACCTCTGCCCCGAGTCTGGGCTGCTTTGAAGCAAATCCTGGACATGTTGCTTTAACTATAAATAATAATCCAGTTTTCAATCTCCAGGAACTAGTTGATTCTTCTCTATGAATGCAATCTTCTTTCATCTTTTTTAAAAGATTTCTCTTCTGCCCAGCTGGCTCTGTTGCCCCCAATACTGGTCACTTTGCTTTTCAGTTCGTGTGTGTTTTTGCGATGTGGGTTTCTGCACCTGCTCAGTGATTCCTGGCTGCCTGTGCGCCTCTGCACGCACGGCGGGCGCTCTTCCTTCTGCCGTGTGCGAGAGGCTGTGTTTGCCTGTTCTCGTCACAGTCACAGAGTGCCGACTGTGATGTGGGAGGAGGGGGGACATCTCAAGGACCGTGCCCTGTGTCTCCCATTTTGGCCAGTGGACAGAGGCCCCTGCTGCCCGGGGTTCAGCAGGAACTGGACAAGGGGAGGGACGGACCAACCCAGATGGTCTGAGCCAGGTCCCCGACCCGCACACAGAGGAATGCCCCCGGCTCGCCCCACTGCTGGTGTCCGCTGCCTCTGGGCTCGCTGCGCCGCCTTCTGGAGAGACCCTGCCCCAGCACGTCCTCGGGCCGGGGTTGCCCGCTCTGAGCTCCCCACTCCGGCTCTGCAGAGACCCCCCCCAGCGCGCCAGCCCATGGGCGGCACCTGTCCTATGCCCTGTGCAGCCCTGGGTCTGTGTCGTGGGCTGCCAGAGGGGTCCAGGGCCTCTGCTGCCACTTCACAGTTGTCGGTGGAGAGTGGGGTGGACTCGTGTTCTCACTGGATCCTGGATCCAAATCTCCAGGTGTTGGTGGAGAGGAATAAGGCCGAGGTTCAAGAACAGCAAACTGTGACGCCCGAATTCATTGCTTTGGCGACTCTTTTTTTGGACGCGCCTTACGTTGTGAAGAATGGCATCAGAGTTCCGCTGGCCTGTTCTCGAAGACACCTACGTGCCCCCCACTGAGGATAAACTTATGAAGGTGGAATCACTGCAACTCAGAACAGCACCGGTAACATTTCTACAACAAAGAGACCGGTGCTAACTGAACACAGTGTAAAACATCGGCAGAGCCGATGCCGACGAAAGCTGAGTGAGGACCGCAGGCCTCAAAGGGGGACGCGTGACCCCCCGCTCACGAAGGCCTCGGTCCTCCGTGCAAACCCGTCAGGGGCCCCAGAGGCGACCCGCTCCTACCACGCTGCTTCTCTCGGCCGTGGGCGAAGGCTGGGGCGTCCAGGACGCCGGGGTGGAGAGCGGGGCCTTGATCTCCTCTATCATGTGGACGACCTCCTCGGGCACTCGGGTGGCGTCGCAGCAGGTGGTCTGCCACCGGGGCAGTTTGGCATTGAGCAGCTCTGCAGACTGAAAATCCAGAGGACACGAGACTGAGGACACGTGTGTGCTGAGTGAAGAGCCGACAAAAACGACATCAAGTACCAAAGCATCGCAGGTTCGATTCCCAGTCAGGGCACATGCCTGGGTTGCAGGCCAGGGCCCCCAGCAACCACACATTGATGTTTCTCTCTCTCTCTCTCTCCCTCCCTTCCCTCTCTGTCTAAAAAATAAATAAGTAAATCTTTAAAAAAAAAGACACAAAAAACGACATCAAGTAATACCACGGAAAACATTCCCGGCTCATCGCCAGAAGTGTGGGGGCTTGAGTTAAATTCAGCGAGTAGTTCAAGCACCTACGGTAGCTGCTGTCCTGTTGGCTGAGAAGGATGCAGAGTTCTGTCCTATGGAACTGACCCTCTCCCTCTATGTGAACCGGAGTTGAAGACCAAATACGAGGGTTGTGAACGATCAAGAACAAGTTCAAAAGCTGACAGGGAAGGGCTGAGCAAGGCGCATCAGCCCCACTGCTTCTCCCGCGGCCCCCACACGGCAGCCACCACTCTCCCCCTCCCACCCCTCCGCCTGCATGAAAGCACCTCCAGGACGGGCGATGGGACCAGGCGCGGACTCAGAGCCGAGGGGGACCGAATCGGACTGGTCCATGGGACCGAGGGACTAGGGGCAAAGTGCGGGGGGCTCTGCAGAGTCGGACACGGTGCTGAGAAAGCGCTCTGGTCCTCGGGGGTGGGCAGACTATGGGCTTTGCAGCGAAGCTGGGCTGTGCAGCAGGGAGGTGCAGGAGGACGAGAGAGGTGCAGGAGGACAAGGGAGATGCAGGAGGACAAGGGAGGTGCAGGAGGACGAGGGGGGTGCAGGAGGACGAGGGGGGCGCAGGAGGACGAGGGGGGCGCAGGAGGACGAGGGGGGCGCCGGAGGACGAGGGGGGCGCCGGAGGACGAGGGAGGTGCAGGAGGACGAGGGAGGTGCAGGAGGACGAAGGTGAGTCCCGCACCCCCAGAGGCAGAGGCCTCAGCCCCAGGCTCCCGAGAGCCCGGCTCTGCTTCTTACAGCCGGAGAGTCCCTGGAAGCCTTCTGGCGAACCGACTTTTCCGGGGCAGCAATCGGATTGGCAAAGGGAAGTGGGGGGCCTTTCCTGAAGCTGTTTCCATAGCAACCACACTGTTTTTACTTAGATTCTCCGAGAGCATCAGGGGCGGGCTGGGGGGTGTTGACGGAAACCCTACGGGAGGACAGAGCCCCTCCCCGAACCACCTCTGTCCCGACTGTAACCTGGCGCAGCAACCGCTCGGCCTGTGGGTCTCCCCAGGAGCCACCGCAGGGACCGCGCTTCGGCCGGGGCGGGAAGGCGCAGGGGACTCCCGCAGAGCGGCAGGGGCGCGCCCACGGCACGCCGCGCGTCCGGGTTGTGTCGCACGGAAGAGCCTGACTGGGACCCGAGGTTAAGCGTGAGCAAAGGCTACCGGCAACTAGAGCTCTCGGGAGACCGGCCAGGCGGCCTCGTGAGCGCCCCGCCGCTGGGGGGTGTCGCCAAAGGACAGGAGCTTCCAAGTGGCTTCTGTCCCTCTCCAGCCTGTGACCTGCCCCGGCAGGACCCCCGGCGTGGGAGTCAACGCTGGAGGGAACCAGCACAGCGCGCCGTGGACAGAAGCGACCACGCAGACCGCAGTTCTTTCCCGTGACAGGTTCAGAGCTCAGGTCTCTAGATCGGAGTACTCCTTAAGTTGGGAGATCTTTATAGAACACGTGACATATGCATGCACGCAAGACCTAGTTTCTTTTCACCCGAAATAAAAGAGGAAGTTGCCTTATATTCAGGCTCTTACGTAGCGTTTCGTATCTGGGAGCACTCTCCAAATTACTATGAGTGACAATGAATGACTGACATCAATCAATGCTACTTTTGGGTGCTTACATGGGCCCAAGAGCATTCATGACTGAGCAAAAGAGGAAAGGAAATCTGACGTGTTTTGTGCTGGCTACTGGGGACGCGTGTGCAGAAAACAGCACGTGTGGTGGAGGGCGGTAGAGCCCAGTGACCCGGCCGATGGGACTGTGGCCGCCACCTTGAGGAGGAACCGAAAGCAGCTCCGGCCGGCGCCCTGCTGCTGTGAACGGGGTCTGTGGCCCGGACACAGCTTCCATGCGCACCAGACCCTCGCAGTGAGCACCTCCGACCACCCCGGCGGAGTGGCCCCGGGCCGGTGGGACCCTTCCTGTGGCTCTGATGGAGACACCGATGCCGACAGTGCGTCGCCGGGAGTCCGAGAAGGGCTCACTCGCAGGTGAGAAAAGGAAAAAAGTGACCTTCCTCAACTACTGAATGTTACTTTATGAAAGATTTTAAATATGCATGTATTACTAAACTAATTAAACTGACGGCTGACCACTTCATCTACATTTCTAAAAGTCTGAAATCTTATTGGCAAAACAAGCCAACTGCTTTACGTGGGGGCATGTATGGAAGGGGAAGCAAGTTGAGGGCATTTAAACGTGATACGAAATGAGTGCATGCTGCATACTCGGAAACCACACCCACCTGTAAGGGGTGGCGGTGCAGGTGGTGGGAGAAGCTGCAGTGTCTGCCCACCAGGCAGCTGAACCCACCTGTAAGTGGTGGTGGTGCAGGTGGTGGGAGAAGCTGCAGTGTCTGTCCACCAGGAAACCTCACCCAGCTGTAAGTGGTGGTGGTGCAGGTGGTGGGAGAAGCTGCAGTGTCTGCCCACCAGGAAACCTCACCCACCTGTAAGTGGTAGTGGTGCAGGTGGTGGGAGAAGCTGCAGTGCTTGTCCACCAGGAAGCAGAAGCGCCTCTTCTCCTCAAGCAGAGCTTCTCTGCAACCGTCGGCAATGAATTTCTGGATTTCGTTCTGGCGAGAAGTGATGGTTTCTATATACTAGGAAGTAACAACCACACAGTCACGGCAGGAGGAACCCAACAGCTGCACAGCCCGACATCCACCCTCTGCCGTCTCTCGCCGGGTTATGTGGCCAACAGAGTGACTGCTAAACGAAGATGGACATTAGACAGAGCAACAAAGCTGTGACCTGGCCCGGCAGATAACATCGTGCTCATTAAGATCACCGCCCTGACTCACGGTGCAGAGAAGTTGCCAAAGGCCTTCCAGTTCCACCGGGCAATTTGCACGGAATGTTACTTTGTACCCCAGGGCTAAGATCCTGTTCTGTTGGAACATCAGGGGCTTTGGAGCCAGAAAGTTCAGTTCAAACCCAGTGCCAAGTGTCGACCACGTGACTTAACCGACGCCCCACTCCCCCATCCGTACAAGGGGCGGGTAACAATGCTCCCCTCCCCCATCTGTGCAATGGGAGTAACAATGCTCACCCTCCCCGAGTGAGGAGAAAATGCCAATGTTTTTAGGAGGCTACTGACTGATTCTTCTTAACTCTGGAAAACTTTGCAGCAGCTTGCTCTAGGTCAAAATGCTTATTTTTAACTTCAGTGGCAGCTCAGCACTTAGCAGATATAAAGTACAGGCTGACTGAGCTAAACAAATTTCCCCGTAAACTGTACAAAACATCGACAACAAAACGAAGCTGAAGAGCTCACCTCAATTTCTTTGTGTTCATATTTGAGTGCATTTCGTCCTCCTTGACTTTTCCTTCTGATCTTCTTCAGTTCGGCTTGAGATTTCTCCAAAGAATCTAGTTTATTCCTGTGTTCTGTTTGGTATCTTTTGAGAGTAGCCTGCAAGTTAAATGCTGCACTCATTTCGCTGTAGCACCGTACAAGCCCGGGGGAGGCTGTTTTGCTAACAGTCCACTGGGCGTGGCCGATGGCCCCTCACTCCTCACTGCCCCCTCCCTTCAACTGTAGTGTTCGCAACTTTGTCCTCAAGTTGTTTCTATGAGGGGGCCATATTCTCTTCTCTTGTTTATCTTTGCTAAAAGTGTTTGGACACTGGGTCGTCAGTAAGTGCTTTGGTGAATAAATCACCAATATTAAGTCCCACATTCCTGTTTTATGAGTTACGACGTCAAGAGAGAGAGTTAAGAAAGAACTACAGTCGCCTCTGGTAATGTGGGTGCGGTGCAAGATTTTTGGGGCCTAACAGACCTGGGCTAGGATCCTGGCTTCTCCCCCCATTTCCTGTGTAATCTCAGCAGTTCCTGAATTTCTCTAAGAGCCTCCTTGTGCGCTAATCCGTACAGTGAGGGGAGCGAGGGGACCTACGTTACGGAGCTTCTGGGGGGACAAACATCTGACGGTGGAGGCACAGTGCTCCGCACCGCCCCCCTCAGCTGCCCAGGTGGTCCTGCAGCCTCCCCCCCAGGCACGCAGAGCACGTGCACGCAGGGGCGCGGTTTGCCGCCACGTGGGGGTCTTGGTGCGAAGAAAGGGGACACCGGGCGGCCGTCGGGGAAACGGGAAGAGCCCAGCGTGCTGGGGCCAGAGGCCAGGCGGAAGGAGAGAGCTGCCGGGACGGACAGTGCCAGGAGACAGCACGGGGTCCACGCAGGGGCGGCCGCTCACGCTCACGCTCAGACCCGGCAGCCCCAGACGGTGCTCTCCCACGCACACCTGCCGCCCCACAGTGCCGGCGTGTGAGAGCGGCAGCTGCACCAGCGCCGATGCAGCTGTCGCCGGAACGTGTGTCCTCTGGGAACAACGCCTTCCAGAGGCAGCACGGTTCCTCGAGACATTTTTTCTCTGCATTTCAGTGAAAACCCCAAGTGTCAGTAACAATGAGCCCACGCAGCCCCGAGGGGCCTTGTCCCTCTCCTGCATCCGTGCACACACTCAACGCCAAGCTCCACCCACGTTCGCTGCTGCCGAATAAACGGTGGGAAGCTCTCTTCGGGCCGAGAGAGCAGGCCCGTGTGGCCTCCGGGACCGCCGGCCCCGTGCCCCACCACACGCCCACCACGGAGGTGGGGCCGGACTGTGCACTCACGTTCATGTATTTCACATCCAGTTCTGTCTTCTTCTCCAGCTCCTGTATGATCTCTTTGTGGAACGTTCTGAACTGTTAGCCAAAGGAAATGAAAAATCCACACCAGGTGTGAGACTTGAAGGAAAATGAAATTTAAAAATAAACACATGCTGTAAATATAAGAAGGGTCCACGTACATTTTCTTTCAAGCTCTCGTCAAGCTTCTGGTGGGTGCTCGAGATCTCCATGAGCACGCGGCCTGGGAAGAAGAGGGCACGTGTGAGGGGCGGGCGCCGGGCGGACACGGAGGGCAGTGGAACGGCGAAGCTCCACCCGCAGCCACCCTCCGGGCCTGTGGGCACCCATCCCTGAAGCCCGGGGCACCTGAATGCGGCCCGTGGGGTGCGGGGGGGACGGCGCGGACGCCAGGGGAACACGCAGCCGACAGCAAACGCCCCCCGCAACACCGCTCGCCAGAAGCATGCCAGCTTCGCCGTAAGTCTCACGTTGTTCGTTCTCCATTAACTCACACATTTACCAGGTTTAACTTTTAAATTCTCTTACGGAAGGTTCTCTTGGTCCTTACAGTAACTAACTATGGGAACAAACGACTTACTATTTTTAATCTAATCCCCAGAGTAATCTGATTATCTGCCAGGCATGAAGGATGGAAGTTATTTTCTTTCTCTCCTGGTAGCTTCTGCATCCCTCCGGAAAACATGAACATCATGGAAAACCGCAGCAGGGACAGGCCCTGCCTCGCGTCCCCCGGGACGACTCCAGTTCTCGGAAGCGCCTCCCATGCCGGGAGGGAATGTTCCAGGACGAGGGCCTTACTCCAAAACGCGGCGAGATGGCCGCTGGACCTGCAAAGTGCACCCCCCCCCCCCCCGCCGCTCATGGCAGCGTGCACACCTCCGCCGCCAGACTCTGCGAGGGTGAACGAGAGCCCCCTCCGCCAGCTCGCCTGCAGGACCCGAACAGGCCTGGTGTCTGAGGGCGGGGCAGACCGAGGGACCACGTGGGACCCGACCCGGCCAGGCCAGGCCGCACCGCAGACGGTGCTGGGCGGGCCGTCCCACGGCTCAGCGGGGCGGTGGGAGAGAACTCCTTGGGTGAAGTGAGAGGCTGCGGACCAGGGGGAACTAAGACAACGACTGTGCAGGACACGGGGAAGAGGGAGACAGCGCCCACCGGCTGGGACTCCAGCGCGCCCTCCGTGCCTCTCCTCGGAACGCGCTGAGACGCCTGACCTTGCAACGCCCAGCCCAGGCTGCCCCTCATCTTCGGGCTCAGCACTGCACCCCTTCCTGGACGTGCCCACTGGCACGTGCTAGTGAGCACACCGCCTGGTGTGCAGCAAGTGTAAAAGTGAACTCACCGCCCTACCTTGGGCGCCGAGTGAGCCAGCACCTCCCTGCCCCGGGGAGAAGTCACGTGGGAACAACCGGTGAAGTCTGTGTTCATCCAACAACCTGTCCCGCTGGGGGTGGAGAAAACAGACCCCAGCCCGAGGCGCGCCCCCCCACACACGAAACCTGCTGGTCGGCCCCTTACGAGTTCCCCCCGCCCCCCCCACCCCCCCGCCCCCCCAGCTCTCATCATTGCTCCTGACTCCCAGTTGCTCTCTCCTGGCTCCTCTGCCTCACGGACACCAGGGGGCGCCCCACACGCAGACGTAACCTGTCACTCCCGAGACCACTCCGGAGTCCCACTAAACCAGCTCCTCAGCACGAGGCCCGCCCTGAACAGCGCTGCCTAAAAAAGCATGGCACAACCATGGCGGCGGGGGGGCGAAAATCTCCTGTAAACACACAACCTCGCAAGGTCACGGGTGTGCACCCTGTAAGTCAGTCCCCAAGCACCGCGGCCTCCTGGGAACTGCCGACAAGAGCCTGCGGGCTAAGTGCGGAGGCGAGGGCGGACTCGCCCCCCGCGCTCTGGGCCCGCCGCGCCAGGGGGTCAGAACACCCTGTCCACATCCTCAGTGACACCGACGTCCTGCGCCCGTGATTAAGTTCTCCTGAAGCGCAACACGAGAGCTGCTCACGAAGGAAGCCCTGGCAGGACCACGGCTGTAACAATCACACTAATGTCACTTTATATCGTGGAGTCACTTCAGACGCTGGAATAATCTAAGTTGCGTTCACGTTTCTCTTAAACTCATAAATTTGTAACTCCTGACTGGGGATGAAAAACAACAAAAGCCCACTTCAATGATCTGAAAACCAAGCGCTCTATTTTTGGCAGATTAGATCTACTTAAAAAAAAAAAAAAAGTTAAGAATAACTTGGCTTGCAGCAGTCGCAGCGGTTCCAGCTAGAATCAAGGCACGCACATTTCCCCACGCTGCCGCCACAGACTGTGTTTCACGGCCTCGTACCGTGGGGGTCTCCGAGAAGCACGCTGCCAAAGCTTGTGCCAGCGCTGAGCTTCTGCTGAGCTCGGTGCTCCGCCCGGGGGCCCCAGCTCCGCCCCCCCACAGCCCCTGGGCCCTGCTGTGCTGCCCGCGGTCTCCCTGCAGGCAGGCGGCCCGGGGAGCGGCCCGCAGGCCCCGTGAAAGGCCCTTTCACCGTGTGGGCAGGACGGAACACCTGCCCCGGCCCCCTTACTCCGTCCCTCGCAGCCCGGGGGACTGAGGTGCCAGCCTCACGGCAGCAGCCGCCGGGTCCTTGGGAATGAAAAGGATCAAAGAACATCTTTACCGGGACTGAGCAAGCTGCCAAAAGGGCATCTTGAACCAGAAAATGAAAAGGGCCTTTATGTTCCGTCTACAGAAGTCCGTTCTTAAATAGCACGCGTTGCGTCTGAAACGCGGCGTCACTCACGTTTGTGTACTCTTACCCCTGTAACCTGCATAATTACGCTGAAGAAAAAGTTTTTTATCAAAGAGGGCGGGGCCGGGAAAGTGCGGCCCAACTCCGCTGGAACGGAACTGAACGCACGCCCCAACAGGAATCAACACGCCGCCCCCCCCCGCCCCAGAAGCCGCAGCGCCGCCCATGCTGAACCAGCCACTCCTTGTGTTGCCTTTTAGGGTCCGAGCCCGTGTTTTGAGAAGACAGTTATAGCAAGGACAGTAATGTGACTCAGTTTGAATAAACTCTAGTTTTAAATGGCAATAATAGAGGAATTTAAATATACACCTATTTTAAAATCATGACTTTGACATAATTAGTGCCTACCATCAATTGTCCCTAAAGTTCATGTAAATAATTGCTGATTTTAGGAACTATGAACAAGTATGCCCAACATTTTTGGACAGTACTGGATAAAGGTATATATTTAGACAATAGGCAGCATGGACTTAAAGTTAAAGAGAAGTTAGGAGAGTGTTGGCATAAACACAAGTTTTCACCGGAACTACAGAGCGGTCACTGGACTACTCTGGGTATGTCTTCAACCGGCGAACTCGCCACCACTCACAGCAGGAGCGGAGAGACACTGAACAGAGACGCCGGCGGGCCTGGTGGCCCAGGACACGCGCTGAGCATTCAGGGTAAGTCGTCATTGCCATTCACACTTGACCCCGGACGATCAGAGCCGACTTACTACTTCAGGACGGCACGGGGCGGTGGCTGAGCCACGCACGCCTCCCTCCGCGGTGCTTCCAGTGGCGTCCGACCACAGAGCACGGGCGGGGGGCGCCCTGGCCTGGAGCTGTGCCGCACGGGCCACAGCAGCACCGACCAAACCGCCACTGGGAAAGGGATGCTTTCCCCGGCAGCCTCCCAAATGCCAGATGCGACGAGGAGGAAATACAATGCGAGTAAAAGCAACCCCTGTGACGACAGACGGGGCGTGTTAGGTGCGCAGGCATGGACCGGGGTCACTGCCCCGGAATTAGTGCAGAGACAGGTCACGTCACCAACACGTGGCCACACTTGCACGGCTTCGCCAGCGTCTGAGAGCAGCTCCCAGTGGCCACTCCCACTCAGTCCCAGGGTGCAGTCGGAGGTGCTCACCGCTGGTCCCCGCTGACATGGGTACCAGTGGACAGCACCCAGCAGGGGTAATGCCAAGTAACAAACAGGTGAGCGTCACCGCACACTCCCCCGGAAGTCCAGCTTCTGCCTTAGCCAACCACGTGCCACCGTTCCAGTTAACGTCTCGCACAGAGACTGTAATTACTCTGCCGTGGTTCACGATGTGGGTCCCCCCTTACGAAAACGAGGGTGGCAAACAACGGTACTCAACAGAGTTAGGTAACGCCCTACCGTTCTTTCAGTGTCTGAAATAGAAGTGGTGCTGCTGGTCTGACTTTGACGTTTGATGCAAGAAAAGATGCACGTTGAACCTCCAGGGTAGCACCTAAAAGAATAAATAACTACCGAGCTAATGGGGGCGGGGAGTCAAAAAGACGACGAGAAGAAATGAACACAGGACAGAGAACAGGAAGCCAAAATGTCAGTAAATAGACTGTACAGTCCACTGAAAAGGCAGAGACGGTCAGGATGAAAAAGCAACAATGCCCACCTCTACTCTGCCTACAAGAGGCCTCAAGTACAGAGGCACGGCACCCCTACTCTGCCTACAAGAGCCTCAAGTATGAGGCACGGAAAAGGCTACAGTGGAAGACGGGAAGGAGGCGTGTGGCGGACAAGCCGTGCACTGGGAGAAAATGTTGACGACCCACAGCCGATAACAAGACTGGTCCAGAATATGTGAGAAACTCTTACAAGTCAACAGTAAGAGATCAAACAACCCAACTAAAAAGAGCAAAAGACAGGACCAGAAATCTCACCGAAAAAGACACACAGATGGTAAGCAAGCATCAGCAGAGCTGGGCCACGCCCCATGCCACCGAGAGCGGGACATGAAGACAGTGAAACGCCACCCCCTCACCGGTCACGACGGCTACAGTCCCGAAGAGAGACGACACCAGACGCTGGGGAGGAGGTGGAGCAACAGGAACGCACCTTCGCTGGTGAGGGGGATGCGAAGCGGTACGGCCACTCTGCGAGACAGCCTGGGGTTTTTCACAGAGGAAGCAGCCGTACCACCACCTAAAGCACTGGGAATCGTACGTCCACAGAAAAACCTGATGTGACTATCATTACAGCTTTATTCACATTGCCAAAAGCGGGAGGCAACCAAGAAGAAGGGCCAACAAAACCGTGGTGTAACTCCGTACAACTGTTACTCAGGCATGAAAAGAGACACACACTAGGAAGCCACGAAAGACGTGGAAGAAGCTTAGGTGCACCTTGCTCAGTGACAGAAGCCAGTCTGGAAAGGCTACGCGACACACGATCCAAT